GGATGGTGGCAAGTAGGTTATCCCAAGCACGGGAGGCAAAGTAGAACCCTGCTCTTGATGGACAGGGCTTCAAATGACCTGGCCCCAGAATAAAATCCTTTGAGTTAATGGGCAAGACAGACCTGCATGGTTTCTGTCCTGAGAACAGGAGGTAGACCATTTGATCAAAGGCACTTGGCGTCCTGCAAAGTGAACAAGAAGGAATCCCCCAGGAGGCGGGGGAGCTTCGAAAAGGACAGGACAGTTCCACAGCTCTGCCTACCCCACCGGCATGGAAATTATTCCCTCCTCCCCTGCGGGCCTGCTGCCTCCTGTGAACTGTGTGGGCCGGCACACTGGCATGAAGCCTGTGCTTCAGCCGCCCCCACAGGCTGGAACAGCAGCACAAAGGTAGCGCGGCCTCCCCGCATCTGGAGAACAGCATGTCACAGGCCACAGGTCAGCCGGGTCTGCACCAAACAGACCGTCTCCCTCCAAAATCAGAGGCTTTGGACCAATGTAAAACCAGTGTCAAAAAATAATAAAATACTAATAATAACGGAACAAAACAAAACACAATGAAAAATAAAATTAAATGAGAAGAAGTTGAGTGTATCAGAGTACAGAAGCCAGATCATAAGGGACCTTAAATGCCAGACTTCAAAAGGGCACACTTCATTCTGCCAAGGGGGAGGATTCCATGCACTTTAAACAGGGAACGACATCAGCGATTGATTCTTCTTCCTGTTAAGAGAATGTAGGACCACGTACTATCTGGCTGACAGAATACTCGGAGGAAGGATGGGTCAAGCTCTGCAGGTTCTTAGTCAACAACTCTTGCCTGCCTCCGTACCCACCCTGTGGAGTCCCTAGGTGGCACAAAGCATTAAGCACTGCACTATGATCAGAAAAGCTGGTAGTTCAAACCCACCCAGAGGTCCCCCGACTATCTGCTTCTATAGGTCACAACTCCCCAAACCCCATGGTGCACAGACCCACTGGGCAGCACATGGGGCACGATCAGCAGAAATAGATTTCATGGACACTTGGTTTGGTGTGGGTTACCTGCCCCCCACCCTCTTTCTTAAGGAGCCCCAGTGGAGTGGAGGGTGGTGACCCATTAGACTGTTAATGGCAAGGTCCGCAGCTGGCAACCACCAGTCGCTCCGGGGGAGAAAAATGAGGCTTTCTAGTCCCCTAAAAATTGACAGGCTTAGAAACCCACAGGGGAAGTTCTACCCTATCCTATATGGCACATATGAGTCAGACCAACTGGATGGCAGGGAATTGGGTTTTGTTTTTATTATTATTATTATCCCCCTTCTTCCTTGCCAGCTAGAGCTCGCTCCCCCTGTGAAGGCTGTAAGTAGTCAAGAATTACTTTCCCAGCCTCCTTTTCCGCTGTGACCTGGGCATATGGCTCAGGCCTGGCTAATCGGAGTTTAAGGAGAGGTTCTTTGGGGGGACTTCTGAAAAGGGTGTTCTTCTCTCATAAAAAGATACATACCAAATGCCCATCTTTTGGCTAACGATGGCCACATTTGCAAACTGCCTGGCAGTTTCCGTCATTTTTCCACCGTGAAAAGGGGCAAGGCCAATATCAGAAAGATGGAAGTGGCAATGCCATAGAACTACATTGTTTCTGGAGATAACATGTTGATGGCTGAAATAACTTTTATTTAGATATCCTGTTACTTGCAGCCCAAAACAGTCCAACTGAAAGAAGCACTAATAAGGTCACCAACCTATTAATGAGGTATGTTACAAAGCATTAAAAATAGACACGTCTTTCCCCAGATACTTATTTGGGGAAAGAAGAAGAACCTCTTAAAGCTGGGACTAGTTTGCTACCATAGTAACTGTGCACTGAATATTTTTGCTGTTCATGCAAGAAACGATACTTCTGAGGGGGCCTGTCTTCTTTTTTTTCTGCAACAACAAGGAATTTTCTCTTTCTTCTCTCATTTGCACATCTCCTCCTGGAAGCCGTGACAGCTTTCTCTCTCCCTGCCACTACACAATGACTTCCTTTTCTTGACAGTCTTTCTCTTACAAGGCCATGGAAACCAAAATCCATCATCTAAGCATGTCAGTATAGGGTAAACAAAGGAATTCCACATCTCAGGGCTTCAGGCCACATTGTAGACTCAGAATTCTCAAGATGAAAAATGCTTTAGAGATTCTTTGTAGGGGCATGATAAGAACAGGATACAAGTAAAGCCAGGGCATCTGGGTAGAGTTCATTAAATGCATAGAAACAGTTACCTCCCATCCTAAATTCGTATAGTAACTAGCTGGCATGTGTATTTGAATTAGTTTCCCATTGCCCTTCAACCTCTCCTGTAGGAGCCCTCATAGATAAAGGATCTATTATTGTAGTTTCTGTTTCTAAAGATCTACCTCTCCTGGATTTCATATAAAGATCATACCACAAACAATTAAAAAAACACATCAGTGATATTAAAATAAAACACCCCAAACTCCAAAACAAACCAAACTTACTGCCATGGAATCAATGTTGGCTCATAGTCACCCCACCCCCACTCCATGTGGGTTTCTGAGATGGTAACTGTTTACAGGAGTAGAAAGCCCAAATTCTCTCCTGAGTTGCTGCTGGTGGTTTCAAACTGCCGACTATGAGGATCACAGCCCAATGCGTCACCACTACACTGCCAGGGCTCCTAAAATGAAATACAGATAAACCTCAATCCAAAAGATAATAATGCATGCTAGAACAAATTGATAATGGATCAAGAGGGAGAACAAATGATAAGATGTTCAATTGATAGCTAATCTGCAGTAACCCATTTTCCAATGTACTTTGAAGACAAAACTATTCACATATCTGGTTGATAATCCAAGGGAGTTCAGTGGACATGTAGTCTACCTGAAAACTCTGCAAATGGATTTTGAACTTTTACTGTCACCCATAGCCTTCTGAAAATCAGGTGCTTAGAAATAAATTCTAATACAATTCCCTCATCCAGTCTTTGATTTTATTATTTACAATCCTTGGATCGCATGGGGGGGTGGTATTTCTTTTGCATGGATTTAACTGACCCCTCACTTAAATGGCTGCTTGTTTTAAGATAAGCTCTTAAGACTAAAGGTGCTATTCTTTCTGACAGGCACCACTTGCTTTTCTCACCACATGTTGCTATAACACCCATGTCATCAATGATCACATCAACAGGGCAAGTATGAAGCATGGCCAAATCATATGAACAAATTGTTCTTAAATTAGGTCTTCCGGTTTAAGTGCAAGCTCAAAATCCATCCATGTGTATATCCCTGGTCTGCTCTAGAAGTACTATTATTACTCCGTGAGAAATAATATAGGTAACCCACAGGGGCCACTAGGAGCCCTGGGGTTGGCTACTTGTTGACCCGTTAACCATAAGGTCAGCAGTTTGAATCTACCAGCCATTCCAAGGGAGTGAGGTGAAGCTTTCTATTTCTGTAAGCAGTAACAGTCTCAGAGAACAGCTCTATCCTGTCCTATAGGGTTGCTATGAGTTGGAATTGACTCGATGGCAGTAGCGGGGCTGAGTGGCAAGGGATACTTGGTATTTCTAATGAAGTATCATTAATTTAGCCAATGGTACTGAATTTAAAATCACAGTGAGGAAAGGAAAGCATACATATACTTATTAGACTAAAATACATGGAATGTTCGCTTATACCAATTAAAGTTAAGTTACTGAACACTGCTTCGGAAAACAAAGCGGGTTAGACCAAAAAGAGCACATTGGGCTGGGGGGTGGGGGGTGGGTAACATTCATTCACTAAAACAAAATGTCTGTGGAACAAAATCATGGTTTGAAAAGCAAAATAGCAAATAAGTTTGCATGATTGTAATAGCTACAAGTCGGGCGGCTGACCACAAAACCAGCAATTCAAAACCACCAGCCACTCCTGGGAGAAAAAGGAGGCTTTCTACTCCTGTAAAGTTATTGTCTCGGAAATGTACAGGGGCAGTTCTACCCTGTCCTACAGGGTTGCCATGACTCGGTGGCAGTTCTACCCTGTCCTACAGGGTTGCCATGACTCGGTGGCAGTAAGTTGTAGTTTTAGGTTGTCAATTATGGACAACCATGAAGGCAGGAAATCTGAACCAAAGTCCAAGGGTTTCCAAGACCAGGACGTTGGGATAGCAGCAGGCTTCTGCTTCTGCTCACCCTGGGCTGTTTAACCTTCCCAACCAAGCGGGATTTAAGCTCCTCGAATCTGCAGCAGGTATGTGTTAGATAAAGTCTGGTTCCTTTCAAAGAGTGTCCAAGTCAGATCCTTCTGAAGTGGCCTGTGCAGAATGCTGTACACCTCAGAAGGACGGACTCTAAAGTCCAGGGGACAGCAGGGGCAGAAAGCAAGGGAAGTGCAGTTAAAAATGCATGGTTAGCAGCATTCGTAGGCGGATTCTCCCAGTGGGGTGTCTATACAGGGAGTTCTGTTTTCCCCAAGGGCAGGCTGCCCCTCCCTTGTTTACCCACTAACGGAAGTGAAATCAACTTGGTGATGTACATATCCCTCCTTCCTCCCCCTAAACTTCCAACGAGCTTCACTGACCACCCTTGTAAGAAGTCTATTAAATTGGAGTGACCACGGAACAATGGTATTCCACAGGTCCCTGTCCCCTAACCTCCACTCCCATCGTCAGGGTGGGGAGACAACTGCCTGGGAGCCAATTCCGACCGAAAGCCACCCTGCAGATAGGGCGTTTGGGGATTCCAAGGGTGTGTGTGACTCTTCCCAGGTCTTTCTGACATGGATGGAGCCCGCTGGTAGTTTGGCACGCTGACCTTGCAGTTAGCGCAACATGACATCCACTACATTCCCAGGGCCTTCTCCCAGTCCCCGCTAAATGAAAAACGGACCTCAGCTAAAGTGGGGGTCTCCTCTACAGAAGCGTTTTTTGAGGTGTCCAAATGAGTCTCTCTCCTGCTGCACCCACTCCCCACCCCCACCCCCGCCTCCGACTTCAGTGAGAGGCCTTTGCAGACCATCCAATTCCTCGCGGATGTATGCGGGCACCCGGGTGCAGGCCGTGCAGCCATTTCCTCGTGTTGGTCTGTCGGGAGAGCGTGCTGGGCACCAGGGCCCGAAGGGCGGAGGATGCGCTGCGGGTCCCGCCGCCCCGCGAGGCCGCAGATTTGCGGCTCCCCACTGCACCTGTCGCCGGTGGGGGCGGGAGCCAGGTGGCCTGGGCGCGCCCTCCCCGCGGGGACACCGAGCAGGAAGTGACTTAGGCGCGGGCCAGGGAGCGGCCTCGGCAGGACGCGTGTCCTCCCTCCGCGGGGCCTCGCGGTGCAGCCGGGTTAGGTGGCGGCCCCAGGCCCCGGGAGCGATACTTATGGGGGGCCAGTGCGCTCGGGGCCCCGGGGGCCCCCGCCTGGGTCGCACTGGACGAGCTGTCCCGGAACTTCACCTACGGGGCGGAGGGCTCCGGCAACGGCTCCCTGTCGGGCGAGTGGTACCGCAGGAACCAGGTAAGGGCCGGCCGCCCCGCCAAGCTGGGCAGCAGGGCGGTGCCCGGGCGCCCTGGGCTCCGCGGCGGCCTTGCTGCCCACCCTAGGAACGGGTGGCCCAGTGCGACGCTGAAGTGGATGTTGCTCACACCCTGACTGCACTACCCCGCGTTGGAGAGCGAGCGGGGGTACCCCAGCCTGGCGTCGCGCAGCCCGAGGGCCTGACCCCCGTGCCCTTCCTGGCATTCTGGCTGCCCGCGGTCCCGCCTCTCTCGGAGCTGCAGCCGCCCTCTTCTCCCGGAAGGATTCCCGGGGGCGTGAGGGCGACCTCGCCATTCAGAGCCACCCCCGAGACCGTTTTGTCCGTTTCGTTTTAAGGGGACATCTCGTTTTCCTAAGCACGGAAGGCACGCGGGGCACCCGAGGAGCGGCGCGGCGCGGCGCGATGCTCGGCGCCGGTGCGCTCCTTCCCCGCGCCCGAGCGAGCGCCGCCTGCCCGGGCTGGGGTCGCCCCGCCTCTCTCGCGGGCCCCTGGGGACACCGCGGGCCGCCTGAGCAAGGCCAGTTCGCGCAGGAAGGAGACGCTGAACGGGATCAAAGGGGCTGGAGCGGCCGGCCCTCGGTTTATGTGTGGCTTGGTTTCCCGATCGATCGACTTCGGGGCCCTTCTTGCAGCAACATTGATATTCTTTCTCGCGGGGGCGAGTTGGCGCGATGTGGTGACGCCCAGGCGTCCTCCTGTTTTCCTACGTGCGTTACAAGTGTGTTCTTGTTCTCGGAACCAACTGCTGGGGCTTTTTCTCCGCCCCCCACCCCGCCCCGCGCAATAGAATCCCAGAAGAATCGTTACCATTGGTCGAGATCGGAATCTTTCAACCAATCCTCAAAACCCTGGATTGCTCCTACGCTTGGGAAAGGTCGGAAGCGTTGGTTTAGAAAACGTGGGAATGTTGTTTTGAAAACAGGAACGCCAAAGATGATTTACACCAAAGGGTTGCATGATTAGCTTTCCACAGCGATAGGAGGTTAGCTTGCAGTCGGTTTTCTCACCAAAGATAGGGATATGGGGTGTGGTGGAGTGCGGTAGGAACCGAGAGAGCCTTAATCATGGGATGTAACCTCCTCCCCTCTTGCTTCCTCCACCCACAGGGAGCTGAAAGATAAGGATCACTTTTGGATTGGGGGCGGGGGTTAGTGATTCAATTTGTTACTGCTGTTGAAGCTGGCACACAGCCGAACATTCAACATTAGAGAATCATTTCTGACGGGAAGTTCTTCCAGGCTGTAAATTCTGCTGATGTTAGGAATCATTCTTAAGAAAAGCTAAAAGATTTTCCTCTGTGGGTGAAGAAACGAGAGGGTTGGTCGTTGTGACCTGCTGTGGCATGTCCGAAACAGGAGAGAGCATTGTGCTCCTGGGGAACTCCTAAACATTTCCTGGAATTCTTGGTTGTCTTAACTGACTAATACCCGGATTGCAGATTGCACGCGACATCATGTGAGGCTAACAAGATTTAACTTGCGCTGACAGTGTGGGTTTGCACAGGTTGGCCAGGGTGTGACCTGCATATGCTAATTAGATGACTTGCCAGCTATCCAAACGATTGCCACATTGAGGCACAAATTGTCAACTTTCTCCAGAACGACCTTATCCTATCTTAAACGACCGTTGACCATGTTATATAGGTGGATGGCATTGAACGTTTCCAGTCATTGTATTTTGTTTTAAGCAAACGGAAATAAACAGTGCCTCTGGTGCTGGCCAGTGGAGTGCGGTTTTCCTTTCTACCACTTGTCTGTCAGTTTGTCCTGCTGTCTTTTTGTTGGACACTGAACAAGGAAGACCGAAGAATCGATGCGTTTGAATGACGCTGCTGGGGAAGACTGTTGAAAGTCCCCTGGACTGCCCAAGAGCAAACACCTCTGTGTTGGAAGGACATCCAGAATGCTGTCGTCAGGAGGGACCGGGCCCTGGAGAAGGCTTGCTGAAGCAGAGGGAGTGAAAAAGAAGGCGCTCAGGAGATGACTTGTCACCGCAGCTGCAACCTTGGGCTCAAACGAAGAATGTTAACGAGGCTGGCGCATGACAGGGCCCTGTCTAGTTCTGTTGTACGCAGGGATGCAATGACTCGGAAGCTACTCCAACACACAGCTGACAGCAATGACAATGTTTCTTTCCTTTCCTCTTTTGACACGAACGGAAGATGAATGACTGGAAACGAGGCGGCCCCAGAAAAACACAGTGTGAGGTATAAACTCATTACCCTGCCGCTCAGAATCAGCCTGTGGCCTGGGACGTCAGGGTGTCCTCGGGCGGGTGGCCTCACGTCCATCCGTGTGATCACAGTTGCAATACCTACACAGTGTCTGTTTGCTGAGAACGCAGTTCGCTGTGCCTTCCAAAGCGATAACCATCAAATCTGATAAATTACCCTTCCTCGTAGGGAAACAACTCTGCTGGACAGCCTCCTATAATTGAGTGTGCAGCAGCGGCGTCCTTGAATCAATACTGTCTTATTATTATTATTATTATTATTATTAAAAGGTCATTTTATTGGGTGCTCTTTCAACCTCTATTACAATCCACACATCAATTGTATCAGGCATATTTGTACATATATTTACTTTCTATTGAGCCCTTGGTATCAGGTCCTCTTTTGTCCCTCCTCCCCACCTTGTGACCCCTAGATAGATTCTAAATTATTATTATTTTCATAACACACTGACCGCTGTCTGCCTTCCCCTATGGTTTCTGTTGTTCTTCCCCCTGGAGAGGTGTGTGTGTGGTTATGTGTTGATCATTGTGACTGGTTCCCCCTTCCTCCTCCTATCTCCCCCACCTTCTCCCTACCCTTCTGGTACCGCTATTCCCATTCCTGTGCCTGGATTCGGTGTGTTCTGAGCTCTTATGTTATGCCTGGCTTCATTCCCATTCCTGTTCCTGGATTCCGTGTGT